CAGCGGAAGTGCCAGTACGAGGTGCCGAGGTCAGCCGAACGCAGTGGCAGCACTGGCAGCTAGTCCCGAAGGCAGTGGCACTTGTGGCAGGTGTCAGCGGAAGTGCCAGTACGAGGTGCCGAGGTCAGCCGAACGCAGTGGCAGCACTGGCAGCTAGTCCCGAAAACAGTGGCACTTGTGGCAGGTGTCAGCGGAAGTGCCAGTACGAGGTGCCGAGGTCAGCCGAAGTCAGCCGAACGCAGTGGCAACTCTGGCAGCTAGTCCCGAAGGCAGTGGCACTGGTGGCAGGTGTCAGCGGAAGAGCCAGTACGAGGTGCCGAGGTCAGCCGAACGCAGTGGCAACTCTGGCAGCTAGTCCCGAAGGCAGTGGCACTTGTGGCAGGTGTCAGCGGAAGTGCCAGTACGAGGTGCCGAAGTCAGCCGAAAGCAGTGGCAGCACTGGCAGCTAGTCCCGAAAACAGTGGCACTTGTGGCAGGTGTCAGCGGAAGTGCCAGTACGAGGTGCCGAGGTCAGCCGAAGTCAGCCGAACGCAGCGGCAGCAAGACCCGAACGCAGTGGCACTTGTGGCAGGTGTCACACCTGCCACCGGAAGTGCCAGTAGTAGGGGCGGTGTCACGATTTGCGCTCGGCCCTGCTGCCGAAATCGTATCAACTTTCAGCTAAACGTCGGTTACTCCGCGGAGCTCGGGCCGGGAGCGGTGGAGAACCGCTGGCCGACATTAGCGTTCATAAATCGGATCAACCTTGAGCTAAACGCCGCTTACTCCCCGGAGCTCGAATATCGAATATCCAACTTGAAACTAACTTCACTGCGGTTTACGTGGCATATTTTAACAGGCTGTCTCCTCCACGTAGAGCTCCACAGTTAGCTAGCTGGACTCACTGACTGTGCGGGAGGCAATTGCGTCGTGCGTCATGGCAAAAGGTCAAAGGTAACGAGGTAACAGGAAGGCTTATTATGATGTTTTTCGAAGGTGGGTCGAGGAGTACGGGAAACCCCAGACAAGTGAGAGATAGGCGGGTGAGCCTGCTTGAAATAATCGAGGCTGAGGTCGGGAGAAACATCTCTTGCAACAGAGGAGCGTCTGAGGGGAAAAGAAAAGGCCAACGCAGGATGAGAGGTAGAAGGACAGAAAATCACGAAGCTGTGGAGAAGATGAGACGTGCTGGCTGAGACGCTGTGGCGAGCAGATGAACGGATTGAACGCAGCTGGGAAGCGGCCGACGGCTTGGGTGTGGATCCTTTTATGCTGAGCTTGATTGATGATTGGACACGCCAGGTGAGGTCCATCGCTGAGGTCGGAGATGAGCATGACGCCGATGGACGAACGGAGGGGATGGAGTCTTCCAGGTTGAATTTTCGCTATTAGCTCCATGAGTTGTCATTGAAAACAATTTAATGACTTATTTTCGTCATAACTTGTTGCGTATGCTGAACTGACAACTCCACTGACGGTCGGACTTCTTAATGCACAGGTACGGTACTCACTGCATCTATCCTATTCTGACAGCGTATGATAATCTGATAGAACAGCGGCACACTAGCAGAGCACTGGAAACCAACAATTTTTTCTTACATTTATTTTGAATATACACCTCTCAGTTTACCCGGGCATAAATACATCTGACACACCAAATCCTAACGTCTTTATAAGGGGCCAGATATTAATAATTTACCGACGAAATGTCAAGTAACAAAAAACTAACTTTTTCAAAGGTCCTTCAATGAGAAGCAAGCTAGCAGGGAGGACCAGCCCCACACCTGAAAGCACTTCTGCTAACCCGTTGATAAACCTAAGATGCACTGAAGAGAAACGTACAGACTCCAACTTCATGGAAGAAATACGGAAAATGAGTACAACACTACAAGTTGTGGCAGCAGATGTCTCGATTAAAGAAACAACTAAAGAACTTAAAGACTGCGTGGAAAATATTCTAATTAGGCTGGGCGAAGTTGAACAGCGAGCGTCCGACATTGAAGATGCAAGTGCTCAGATGGAGAAATGCGTGAAGATATGTGACAAGAAACTGGCGACTCTTTGGGAATGAGTCGAGGACTTGGAGAACCGGAGTCGGAGGAACAATGTGAGAATGGTGGGACTAAAAGAAGACAAAGAAAAAGGAAATGTGCGTCAGTATGTGGAAAGGATCAAGGATGGCGCCCAAGCCAGATGTCAATAAACCACCCCGAACCATCCTGATACGGTTTTTGCGCTCATCGGCTCGGGACAAAGTGCTGCAGATGGCCAAAGAAAAGCGTTGGGCTGGAGTGGGAAGTCTGCAAATTATCTTTCTTTGAGGACCTGTCGAAGGAGCTTGTGGAGAAAAGGAGAACTTTCAACACTGTAAAGAAATGCCTCTGGGAAATGGAGGTGAAAGACCGGCTGATGTTCCCAGCATCGCTCGTTTTCACCTGGAAGGGAGAAAGGAAGACGTTCCGGTCTTATGCAAAATTCTGTTCCTCTGTGAAAATCTGTTCCCCCTGTGTCAGGAGCGCGCACTGCAGCTGACCATTTTACGGCGCAATCTGGGAATGTAAATGCATTTCCCCATTTTAGAACACAGTAATACAGCACATTGAAAAGTGGATAGGTGTGGGGATACCCATGTAACTAAGACTCTGCTTATTAAGGGATCAAACAGTGATGCCAAATATGTCAAAACACTGTGGTGCAGGTGGCGACAGGTCACGGCTGCCAGAATCATCCTCAAACTATGGAAATCTTTAACTGTTTTGAATATTAAAAGCTGGTTGGAATTAATGTTGGAAATGGTGTCATATGAACAAATGCTGGCCAAGCTAAATAATGACAGAAAACTTCAAGAAATCCTGGAACTGTTTCGTCTCCTGCAATACTAGGACAAGTAAACGCCTCTGATGAACTACTGTTTTGGAAAATACTGACGAATGACTACTTCTGTTTACTGTGGTTGTTCCTGCTAACATCGAGGATGTCTAATTTTTTGTGAAACTTTTATTGATTTATATTCATTAATCTGGTTATTTTGCTTTGTTTTATTTGTGGTTTTTGTTTTGTGAGGGACGGTTGGCAGGGGCTATGTATATGTGTTCTGAAACGATAAAAACTTTAATAACAAAGAACAGATATTTTATGTCTCCAGTTTTTGTTAATTAATCTATTGATGTTTTTCTTGCTGGTTGTATTTTAACTGCAGCTCATTGCTAAGTATGACAGATGTAAACGTTTTATTTCAATCCGTCTAATTCAGAGTTTTATAATATCCATTACAGCTCAGATTCTGGACCAGAAAACTGATGTCCTGAAGAACCTGCCGCCTGTTGAGCTCAGAGAAAAACTCAGTGGTCTGGATTTTTTCAGACGAAGCTGAAGTTGGTTTGTGATTCAGGAAATGGATAAAGGGCGATTCCACCTAATTATTCACTACAACCAGCATCTTTAATCTGCTCTAGTTAAACATTAAAACACCTGGACTGGATTATTATCGTCTAATAGAAGAATATTTAAAATTAAGTGTGGGATTTGTGGATCTTTAATAAAGGCAGATTTCATTCTTTCTGTTTTTGATCTGACCTTTGACCTGCTTGACATAAGGGAGATATCTACACACTGGGGGTCCGAATGCTGTCCTGTTCTGACCTCAGGTCAGCAGGTCCAACGCAGTTACACAGGGACTAAATTAAACTCTGGATCCAGGATCAAACTCAGAAAATATTTATTAGAACAGAAGATATGAACTTTGATTTATGATCAATTATAGATAATTATTGATAATTATATAATAACATACACCAATGATTTCAGTCTGCAGCCTTCAGTCTGTAGAAAACCACAGAGCTCCTTCAGTCCAGATCCTTCCAGGTTGGTTCTGTACAGGTCCAGTCCTG